AGTAATATAAGTGGGGCGCATTAATTCCCAAGCAAGTGAAATTTATTGTCATGTAGGTGCCCATTGGGAATAATTTATGCACCTTCTATTAAGAAAATATTTTAAATTTAAATTTACATATTTTGCTTATTAGGACTAACCTTGCCAGGATCCTTTTTGGAGGTGCCAAGCCCTCTGGTGTGGACTTTATAAAGTGTCCACTTAGCAGGAAAAATAATGAAACACATACATGGGTGTTTTCCAAAGAGAAATGTTCTGTGCATACTGAGCTTCTCACATGCTCTTTGTAAACTCAGCTTGTCAGTCTGCAGACTAGATTACAGAAGTCTTTTTTTTTTTTGCCTTGTACAATCAAAACCAAGTAAAACTCACTATCTCTTGTTTCAGAACCTCTTCACTCAAATGCATTAAATCAAACCAAATCAATGGTAGTATATTAAATTACAAAACAAGAAGAAAACTTCACTACAAACTACCTGGGTCAAAAGGAAAGGAAAGGAAAGCAGCATTCACTTACAGCACATACAATATTCTTAACAACCTAATCTCTCTCCATCATCTCTCATTACGACTGAATGCAAACACAAACAAAGAGCTCCAGGAAATGTATTTCAGTCATCACAGGTCTTTGTGAGAAGCACAACCATTGTGAAATTCTAAGGTTTATAAAACAGAACAGATTTTTAAATCATTCTTTATTAAAGCACAGCTGAAGTTGATGTTAAATCTTCACTCTCTAAAACATTCAAAAGCACTGATGCTTGCAAGGTGTTAATAAAGCAAATCCATTCAGATCACAGTAGTTTGCCTGGCTAGAATTAAAAGCATGACCCCCGAGACAGACTCCAATGCTCCCCTCACCTCCTGCTGTGGGACACGGATGGGATACTGCTGTTGGGCCCTGCATAGGAGAAGATAGCAATGGAAGCCTCCTACTCCACATACCAGTCTCTCTCCTCTCTGAAGAAGATTCATGTGGACACTCTGCCATGCAGGACAAAAACAGGACATGGCTAGGATTGGAGAGGTAGGGGGTTGGGGGAGAGAGACACACACAGGAGAGGTATATTCCTCTCCAGAAACTACATAAGGATATACCACTCTGTGACGCTCCCACACCCTTCCAAGAGTTCACAGTGTGTTATCAACAGCTGGGGTACAGTCCAAAGGGGAAGTACAACCAGAATGAGCCAGCAAGGTGATATGGGGATTGAGACCCTAGATATCCATGGATCCATAGCTTTTTCGGTCTGTGGCCTCACTATACCCTAATGGACTCCCACGCTGGGTGAATGAGCTGACCCAGAAATATTGCATTAGTGAGTTCCACTTTTTGGGTTTGAGAGGAGGGCTGGAAATACTTCACAAAACAGTCAACGTGGAAGCAAGAAGTACAAGAAAGCATTTATATAAGGGTTTCCCGCTTATTTTAGCGGGCTCTAGAGATTTAGATAGTTGGGATAAGCCTCCGAGCTATTCACCTATTAACAATAATTACAACTGATTTAAAATATCTTAAGGCATTCCCATGCTTCACCTACAACAACACTGCCTTCCTATAACTCTACATGTAGATAATTGGAAAGAGATTTAACTTAAAAAAGGAACAAACAAATATGAGACCAACAGTGGTCATACTAAAAATACCTCTGGGAAAAAAATTAAGCCATATATAAATGGGGAAAGACTAGCTGAGATAGATGTCCAGGGACAGGAAATTCCACATTCAAAGTCTACGCACACAGTAAAGGCCAGCCCATAAAGCAACAGAGTGGGAGTTCTAGAACACAACTTATCAATAAAAAGGAAACTTCAACAAGGCTGTTTTCAGTATAGCTAGTGCCTACACCATTAGAAACCAAGAGGCCAATTTAAAATTAATCCACCACTTTATAGGCAGCCAACGTAAAGAACAAAAAGATGGACAGGCATAATATGATTGTTCAAAACAATGAGCAAGGATACTGCTTCAAGCGACAGAGGCAAAACTGGAAGGAGTAATGCTATTAGGAAATTAAAGACACAAGTCTCATGGGCAGGGGGACTGCAAAGTATTAGAAAGATAAGACAACCTGCACATATTATGCACAAACATTCCCAAATAATCAAACTCACACATTCACTCATCCCACACATGGCTTTCCACAGTCAGATCAGTGCTTGCTTTAACGATAACTGAAGATGAGTTACATCTCTAATTGGTATTAACTCTCCTGTAAGCCCACATAAAATCACTGTACAGGCAATGAAATTCCAGGCAACCTCAGAGGCTTTTGTAGTTTATTTTTTTTTAAAATCATGGTTATCCTCTTAAGAGCTTCCTAAAGCAAGAATCCATATTAAACTCCTAGTAGCACTAAACCAATTGTTCTATAAAGTCAAGTATAATGACGATGGCACATCTGTTCCACTACAGCTAAAGACTAGGTGGACTTTCCAGTACAAATCCTTTACTAGATCTTCAATCAGTTCAAAACAAGTCAGTTGTTTTACAGCTTATTTCATAGGGAGTATTGCCAATTTCTAAGGGAAGTGGGTGGGAAGGCCATTTTTAAACAACCTGGAAAAACTGCTGACGAGCAGTATAAGTAAGGGCAGGTCTACACAATCGCTTAAGTCTAACTTATGTTGCTCAGGAGTGTGAAAAAGCTCCACCCCACTTGAGCAACGCAAGTCTTGAACTGTCCACACTGCTCTCCCACTGACATAGCTTCTGCTTCTCACCGAGGTGGAGTAATTATGCTAATGGCAGAGCGCTCTCCCATTGGCATAGCGTGTCTTCACCAGACTTGGTGCAGCTGTTCTGATGTAGCGCTGTAGTGTAGACTTGCCCTGGTGACATGTAATGTGATTCCAAATACCACTGCACTCAACTGGATTACATGAGCTTGAGTGAGTAATCAGTGTCAATTACAGATTGAATGGGAAAAATTCATTTTTAATAAGGTTAGGCCCAGATCCTGCACTTGAATCCATGGAGCTGGGCCCCTATGACTGCAGGAAGACCCAGCAAAGTCACTGGGGTTCTGCTGCACGGATCAGATTGCAGGATCAGGGCCTTAGTCTCTGAAAGCAAACAAGTGCCTTCAGACTATTTCAGGAAATGAAAACTGGAAATAAAATCAAGAATGTCTTTATAGTTGTTTGAGAATTGGGTGAAGAGAATGCATCTGAGCTGTTAAAATATTTGTATTATGGTTGCGATAATATGTCCATAAGGTATTCATCAGAAAATACTCTTGTATCCGTACTTCTCAAGACTATGCTCTCCCATGTATAACACTCATGGAGTGTGGCTGGAACAAACTTTTGTACAAGTTCCCCTTGTGAATTAAATTCATACCAGCAGTACAGGAGCACTACATTATCCATAAAGTGCTCCTATCCCTGCCTCATATACCCAGCACTTGAGAGGCCTTTTGTGGGATACAAGGTGAATGAGGATTTCAACTGAATCTGGTCCTAAACTGTTTTTCCACAGCTCAATTGGCTGGACAACCTAACATTGCAATTGCAAAGCCAGTTGGCTTCACTAGAGAGGAATAGCTACTGCTCTAACTGGACACCTGAAATGGAATCGGATAGCACCCTGAGAATGCCCAAGTTTGTACATCAGGTTCTTATTTACAGTTGAGGCATTAAAATAGACTTCACAGTTGATTGGTTCTTCTAGACCAGTGGAATTAGGCACTCTAAGTACCTTAGTATTTGGAATATGATAGTGCAGATACTACAGATGGCAAAACAAATAATATAGATACAAATAAATTGTGATAAACCAATTCTTTTTATTTTTCAGTGGAAGTTTTGAGTTTGTGTTGCTACAGACAGACTTGCCATAAATTTGTTGCTGCATTTATATTTAATATGTTTAAAAGAGGGATAAAATAGACTTTAGAAATGCTGGTGAAATATTTATAAAACCACAAAGAAGCTATGTAACTGGAAGAGAGGAAAATAAAATAGCTCACACATGGGATCAAATATACAAGTCTAGCTTTTAACCTGACAGTTTCCCCACAATGCAACTGAGTACACTGCCAGCATGTCACAGATCTGCAACACCTGAGCTGGCAGGGGGAAAAAAGTGATTAAAAGAGGGTGCAATAATGTAATTCTGTCCTTAACACATTCATCCCAAAATACTCCTGCAGATCTGTTCCAAAACAAAGGCATCCTTAAAAGTACAGCCCTCCTCTACTACACAAGAGTTTCTAACAAGTTTTTCCCCTTCACGAAAATATCAGCAAAACATTTTTTCCAGGATGGCACTAAAGTTCAGGATTTCTTCCCTCCCTTTCTCATTATTTCAATATATTTAAGTACTACAGATGAAAATTTCACAAATCATATGTTACAAAGAGCAACTTAGACGTGGCATTAAAACAATGTCCAGAAAGTCTATAAGCCCAAGGTAATGTCACCAAGTGAATGCTAATTATGGTGGAAAAGACACTATATGGACACCAATTCATCGAGTAGTAAATGTGATAATAGAATCCACTGATCCTTTCTCAGTGTTCTCTCTTCATTTTTTATATATTAGGGTAACCAATGTCCTGATTTTATAGGGACAGTCCCGATATTTGGGGTTTTTTCTTATATAGATACCTATTACTCCCCACCCCCTGTCCCGATTTTTCACACTCGCTATCTGGTCACCCTATTATATATACACACATACATAAGTTAAGCACATAAGTGCTTTGCTGATTGCGGACTATAATTCTATATCCTGCTATTTCAAAAATACAAAACATAGGAGCTTATTCAAATCCGCTGGCCTAGAACAATACTGCTATATTGCCTGTGTATATGGGTAGTTGCGATACCAACCTTAGTTCTGAATTTCTCTACATTTCTGATTTTGCAATTCTTACAGCTAAATTAAAAATACGTTTACAACAATATCTGCCATATTGCTGCAAAACGTGAAGATTTGAACTGTGTGTATCGATAATTTTAAAATATGTTGAGGGTTAAAAGACTGAAATACTTACCTACACCTGCTATTATTTTATAAAGATGATTTGCTGAAAAATGGATTAACAGGAGCAGAAAGTCAACTGTGACCAAGATTATGCAAAGGATAACAGAAACCCATTCTTGCAACCGTTTACCTAAAAAAGAGAAAAAATAAGAAAAAATAAATGTAGTGCAAACTGACTGGAGAGGAGGAAGGAGAAGGACACCGTGGAAGAAGGTGGTGGGAAAGAAGTGAAGGAGAAAAAGAAGAAAAAACTACAAGTATATTACAAACACTATTTGTCCTACTAAAAAACTATTCATCCTTCTACTGTGATTCCTTAGTAAATCTTGCCCAGAACACAGGTGTTAAAGGTATGCAAGTGAGTGGATCATAAGAAAAAGAAATAACCAATTGCAGTCAGCAAAGTCTTCTGCTCAAGGTCTAATGTTTATAACGAGGAAAATAACGTTTGGGTATGGAACCTGACCATCCCAAGGAACTCTCCCATCTTGAAAGCAGTCAACTGCTAGCCTTTCCTTTGGGCACCTACATAAAGAAAGGATTAGCAGAGCTGAAGTTAACCTGTGGAGCAAGGTAGTGCTCAAGCAATCCGTCAGAAGACATAGAATAAGGCCTCAGTCTTGCCCAGGGATCCAATGTACTTTTCCTATCTTTTCAATATGTGAGGTATTTTCCAAGAAGCTGTGAGAAGAGAGACATCTTGTTACTTTGCTTCATTAGACCTTAAGAACCCTTCATCATAAAAGTGGACTAGCCTCTGCCCTCAGTTTATTATCTCTCTCAGGAGGTCATGGAGGAAAGTGCTAGGACTCAGTCATTAAAATTGTGTTTTCTAAGTTTTCTACTCCTTTTAAATAATTTAAATCCTAAATAAATAAAATTTAGCATGTGAGACAGTGCATCAGGTGCAAACCCAAGTGTCAACGTAGGCTACACATGGGGTCTTTTGCAGTGTCATGGTACCAAATCTTGTCTTGCCACAGTTTAGTATCACCTCAGATTACCTACAGCAGAGGCAAGTGCCACAAGCTTCAGCAGTAAAGGCTCTAGCACAGTAAAGGCTCTTACATTTGCATGGCCACCCGCAGCTCCCAGTGGCCGCGGTTCGCCATTCCCAGCCAATGAGAGCTGCGGGAAGTGGCGGCCAGCACGTTCCTGTGGCCCGCACTGCTTCCCGCAGCTCCCATTGGCCAGGAATGGTGAACTGCGGCCACTGGGAGCTGTGGGTGGCCGTGCAAATGAAAACAAACTGTCTGGCGGCCTGCTGGGGGATTACCGTGACAGGCCACAGGTTGCCCACCACTGTTCTAGCACCTGGCCAACCCAAATATACACTCTTCCACTGCCTTCAACTCCACGTTCTGTCCTGGGCCACAGACATCCTGCTTCCGAGATTCACTTCTCCCACCTGGCCTAACTGTCACAGAGTCTCCTCCTGGGTTTATGGCTCATCTTCCGCCTCAGCTGGAGGTTTAGAGCAGCATAACGACCACCATTAGCAGGCTCCCCAGACGGCTGTCTGCTGACCAGACACTGCTCAGCTGATTCAGCTCACCAATCCACAAGGCGCCCAACCCTAAACTTCCAACTTCCACCTCAGATACATCTCCCAAGCCATTCAAGACAGCGGAGCTAGCCATATTAAGGCCTGCAGTCGATTTAGCTGATTTAAATTACTTAAAAGGGGCATAGAATTTAGAAACCATCCACAGCTGATGTAAAATCAGCATGTCATCTTTGAACTCAATGGAGCTAGCCCGATTTACACCAGCCAACGATCTGACCCCAGGATTAAATCATCAAAAATCTTAATTCTCAAGCAGACTCAGAGAGCGATGACAAACTGAGGGCAGACGCTAGTCTATTCCTCATAATTCAGGTTATGTAAGGACTAATGGCCTCGACTAACAAAAACATCTCTTCTTGTACCTTCTGGAAAAATCACCACACAGGCTGAGAGCACAGGAAAAGTGAAACTATTATTAATTAAGTATCAGAGGGGTAGCCATGTTAGTCTGGATCTGTAAAAAGCAACAGCGAGTCCTGTGGCACCTTTAAGACTAACAGATGTATTGGAGCATAAGCTTTCGGGGGTGAAAGAAGTATGCGTCTGACGAAGCGGGTATTCACCCACGAAAGCTTATGCTCCAATACATCTGTTAGTTTTAAAGGTGCCACAGGACTCTATTATTAATTAATGTCAGTATTGACGTTGAAGAAGTGCACAGAAATTAGTTAACTCTTTTCAGAAGGTCTTCTACTGACTTGCTGGAAATGTAAGGGTCCAAATAGCCACCTCTCCTTATTACAGTGCCACCAGCTGACTCTTTGTACAACCCCAGTTACTGAATTCAGGCTATTTAAAGAAGGCTTCATAGAAATTGAGAACTTGATTCTGCTCCCATTGACTTCAATGGTGCATGATCGAGCCTTTTAAGGTTGTTGTACGCCAAGTTAAAATGTCAATGTTGCAGATACCTATTAAGAAATTTAGAAGCTTTTAATTGCATAAGAACCTACAAGCACTTTAGCATAGAAAGCTGGCACCATTAATGTCGGGCTAAACACAGCGTAGTAGAATCAACCTTCAAATGCACATGAGAATAGTTTTTGGGTTTGGAATTAAGTTCCGACATCGCATATAGCATAATATTAAATCTCACAGAGTGTACGATAAGCAATTCTCTACTGGCCCAATCTACTAAAATGATTTATGCACCGAAAGTGTAACTGTACAGTAGGGAGACTGCTGCACATTTGCTCCCGCACAAAGAACTCTTGTCATTCAAGTCACTGGTACAAATGCCGTTTGGGCAGATTTTCGACTGGTAAGAGATTTAGAGTTTTAAAATAAACCCACCTTCTTTCAGTGCAAAAAGACAACAAACATACTATATGGAATGTATACCATTTCTTGTGCACAAACAAATATATTTTATGGCAATCACATCACAAAAACACCTCATCAGCATTAAATAAGAGACCTGCCATAACACAACCTGTTTGTTACTCCTCAGAGTGATTAAAATATGATTTTGCCATATTGAAGCACTTTCACCCCTCGCAGTCAGCAAGGCCTTCCCTCCTCACCGTATTCATGATGTTTGTTTTAACAGATTACCTGTATGCCTGTCAATATATTGATGAACAAATATAGGAGCACTTATGATTAAGATGCCTCTATTCTACTACATTAAAATAAATACTTACAAGGAAATGTGTTCACGTTTGGTTTGGTTTCGGCTCACTGTGTCATTTGGGAAAAGAGTACATAAAATTACTGAAAACATTTTTGTGTTTCCTACTTGCAAATATAGAAAAACTTCTGTTTGAAAGGCCTGATTCTGCAGACTGTCTGCCCTCAAAACTTCCCACTGATATCCTGATCAGACACAAGCTACTCATATGACCATTTATGGATGGAACAGAAATCCAAGAAACGTTGCTAGAATAAGCAGATACCAAAAATATGGAGTTGTTTGTTAGCAAATAGAATTTATACCAATGAAGAAACTATCTTCCACCATTCTGTACATTTAAGTCATCCTGAAACATCCAGTAACTTTAAAATTAGAACCTGTCATGAGATATTTTCCATTTTATTTTGTCTAAGCACGTTTCTCTCATTTTAGGGTCTCCACCGATTTTCATAAAGTTTCCAATAAAAATGATTTTGTTGATGCTACAATAAAACGGGGTGACAAACCCACAACTGAAAGCCCATGAAATAGCAGAATTACATAGGATTCCAGTATAGCTGTGAACAGGGGACTGCGCAATTTGCTACCAAACTCCTTTCTCTCACCCCTCCAATACTGTACCCTTTTACCCTCTGCATCCACCTTCTCCCCTGTTGAAATCAAGAATGCAGAGTAGATATTAAAATTAACTAATACAGTAAGTGAACTGAAGAATTAGTGCCAGTCTAGCAAATTAAACAAGGGAATAACCTAATTTTTCCCCATTTTTTTCCTTTTTTATTACCAACAAATTAGAGGGCTCCAGTAGATTTTATCAAATACTGAGCTCGCCACTCTCTTTCTCAAGCTGTATAAATGCCTTTAACTCCCAAAAGAACATCACCATTCCTTAGCCCCATGTAGCTCTCTTTCATTTACCCACTTCCACAGCACCATTTTCAAAGATTTGTTACAGCCAAAGGGAACAAAGTGGAAATCCTGAAAGGATCTCTGCAGATTTTTCCAGAATTTTTACTCTGCCCCCTCCACCAACTGTCCATAAGACCTCAACTCCCCTGCTGCCTATATCCTTTATGGATGACTCCTAAGATACTTAAAGATTAAAACAAAGGACAAGCCTCACAAGTCTTCCACAGAAATGCCAGCCATAATAGTTTAGTCACACTATCTGAACACAAAAGGGAAGCCTAACCTTACCTTTGAAGTTGCAAGCCTTAGTCAATTCCAGAAAACAGAAGATAGGCACGACACAAAACATTATATAATTTATTTCATTACCTACACCCATGCAGACTCACGCTATACAATCTGAGCAGACACACTAAATACAAAACCAGGTCTCACCTATTAAGTTCAATATGTTTTATTTTTTTTTAAATAGTCTTAAGCTATGTTAAAATAAAATTTATAAACATCTTCATGGAGCAACATTGCAAACACGTAGGAAATAAGAAAAATGTCTCTTTAATGCACAAGCCATTCAAAACTGGGCCCCAAGTGTTGTGAGAGGCTAACTACAATAGATAGCCTGCAGGCGCCTTTAGAACTGTCCAGGCACGGAATGTAAAAAAGAACGACAGTGCTTCTATAGTAGCATCAATTCCAATTGAAGCAAAATAATAGGAAAGAGCACAATATTCTACACTTGTATCACAAAAGGCTAAATCTCAAATATTTGTGTACGGTCACTCAGCCAGATGCTAAAAAAAAAACAGTCATATGTATTTTTTAAATATGATCAAATTTTGCAAACTGCAGACTTCTAATTCACATATGTCTAAGTGATGGCAATTATTTTTTCCCCCTTTAAGATACCATTTGCTTTCCTTTCAAATGAGCCATAATTTCTAACTATTCCCGTGGTGCATTTTAACCTAAATAAATCTGTGCAGGTATGCTTTTGTAATCACTTATTTTGCAGCGTACTAAC